ATATTACTTATGTTGCAAATGAACCTATTTAAAATACATCAATTTTGGTCTTGGAATCTTTTTGAACTACAATAATGTTGCCTTCCTCGAAGTGGGACAGTTCCACATTTGTAAAATACTCCGGTCCCAATCAAGGCAAACTGTGCCTCCCATTGAGTGTGCACGCAGCGTTACCTGAAGATGATCTTCAAGATGAACATTGTCGTCGTTGTTGTTGTTGTTGTTGTTGTTGTTGCAGCGGTTGCTATGCAAATTGCAATTATTTTGTGTGTAGTTATGTGAAAATTTATTGTTTATGCTTAGAACAAAAGTTTGAGCTGCGCTTTGGCAGGCATTGTCTTCATTTTTCGCTGCTGGAATCTCTTTCACTTTGGACGCTGTGGGGCCTTTTGTTTTCTCTGCAGACTTTTCTGATTTTTTGCTCTATCATCAACTGGTTTTGGGTTACGTGCACGCAGAGAACCGAAACCCACACAGCTCTACGCGAGATGCTGCAGCGATCACATAATTCGTGTTGTTCTCGTTGTTGTTGTTGTTGTTGTTGTTGCAGGCTGGCTCATCATTCTTGTGCTTTTCCGCACGGCTCAAAGTCTTCGGTTTTTTTTTTTTTGTTTTTGTGGCAAGTTATTTTTATCAGCAGCATTTTGCTGCCGTTGCATGCAGCACAGCCAATGCCAGAGGCTGAGCCCGCTAAAGCTGCCGCAGCTGCCCCTTGTCGCCTGTCGAGCTGCCGCATCAGACTTGTGTCTGCTGTCCAAAGGTCCCAAGACGCTTTTTATCGGCATACCTTCTCCTTACTGTTGTTGTCTTAAGCCTCTCTGGGCTGCCGTGTTGTGTATCTATAAAGACAACAACGGACTCCTTAGCCTGGCCAGCAGCAACAACATCACGATCTTTAACATGTTTTGTCTCGATCAGTGAAATCATTCAATCAGAACGGTCAGCGCTTTGGCAGCTCCGGTCGTTGCCAGGACACACACACACACACACACACACATACGCACACTCACATACACGTCATGCCGCATTATATAAGGCTAAGCCAGAATCTGGTTGAACAACTCTTCTCTACGCTCAGAAAGTGTTCACGATCAAAAGCTTCACCCACAATTAATAAACTGTTGCACACGGTAGCCAAAGCCATTTATGATACTTTATCAAAAAACAGACACACACACACATACACACACACACACTGAACTCAAATGAAGCGTCCACAATTTGGCCAAGGAGTCTGGACATTCTGCGGAGCTCGGTTTTTTATTTATGCACCTCGTCGAGCTTGGCCATAAAGCATGTTTTTAAAATTCCATTAAAATTTATTAGCATTTCACACAAACTCTGCATAAATAACAAATTTCGGTACTTTGATACGAACACAAAACAAGAAAAAAATAAGAAATATCAAGAAAGCGGCTAAGCCGAAGTTTTAATACCCTTACAGATTTGTGAAATGATTTGTGTAGTTCGCAATTGCGGAACTTTCTTAATTAGTACATGCATGCAGACATGTTTACAAGTAAATACACATGCATAAATAAATGCACATGTGCATACATGCAGATATGCAAAGTTACATACATATTTGCATGCATACATGCGTACATGCATACATGCATATATACATGCATGCATACGTATGGACATACATGCATACATTCATGCATACATGCAGCCATGCCTATATGTATAACTACACACTCACACACACACATGTCCGTATTGACTCAGTCTCTTGATACTGATTCAGAATATATTTGTGCTCACAGAAGTCGCTTTCCATGGCCAGCATAATGATTGACAAAATTACTATACCCTCTCCATATACTCTATCAAAACAGTGGCCCCCCTTTAATGATAAAAAATTGGATAAGGCCAAACCAGAGCCGCGTCTCCACTTCCAATGAAATTTATGTGTGCGTGTTGCGTTTAATTGGAACGCTGTGTGTGTGCGTGTGTGTGCGTGAAGTTGTGCATAAGTCGATAAACAATTTACGCAATGCACTGTTTGCTTTGCTGCTTTGTTTATGTACGCATTATCTAAACAAATACGAAAATAATGCATTAAATGCAGCACATAAAACACGAAATTAGAGTTAATGCGCGTTCGTCTACTTTCGACTGGCACTGTGCGCAGCGCGCGCGCGCTCCACTTTGACGAGGCGAGTCGCGCAGCTCAAAGTTGAGGCCTACGCGACGGCGACGGCGACGGCGACGGCGACGGCGACATCAGCCGAACAAAAGGGCAACAAGTGCAAACGGCAGACGGCTCTCTTGCGGGTGTTCCCAGTATTTCTCACGCCCAGAACCAACCAGAAGCAGCGCACACAATTCCTGCGCCCGGCCTTTCTTTTTCTTTTTCTGTTTCTTTTTTTCTTTGTTGCTTCCTTTCTTCGTTTCTTATTCTTGTTCTTTTGTTTGCCTTGGCTCCTTGGCATGCACAGCACATAAGCCGCTGCCGCTTCTGCCGCTTCTGCCGCTGCTGCTGCGCAGTCGCGTCGTGATTCCGATTCCTGGCGCACCTATAAATGACAGCTTCTATGGCCATTTCACTTTTAGTCTTGAGCTGTTGACGCAGGCGCAATGAACTGCTGTAAGTTGAGCTGCGGCAGGAGCTGCCAGTGTTGACTAATCTCTGTTTGTCTAGTTCTGTTTCTGCTGCTGGCGCTGCTGCCGCTGTTGGCCGCGGCCAATACCATCAAGGAGCGCAATCTGTTTGCCACCGAACTGTTTCAGACCCTGGCCACCGAACGCCAGCAGGAGAACGTGATCATCTCGCCGGTGTCCGTGCAGCTGGCCCTGGGCCTGGCCTACTACGGGGCGGAGGGCAGGACCGCAAGCGAGCTGCAGCGCACGCTGCACGCCTCGGCCACGGAGAGCAAGGATGGCCTCGCCGAGAGCTATCACCGGCTGCTGCACTCGTACATCAAGTCGAAGACAGTGTTGGAAATCGCCAACAAGGTGTATACCCGACAGAACGTGACGGTGGCGCCGCATTTCCGCGAGGTGGCCGACAAGTATTTCGACTCGGAGGTGGAGGGCCTCAACTTTGACCAGGAGGCGCAGGCGGTGCAGCGCATCAACAACTGGGTAAAGGAGAAGACACAGGGCAAGATCGAGCGTGTGGTGGACAACCTGGAGCCGGACACAAATGTGGCCCTCATCAATGCCATCTACTTCAAGGCGCGCTGGGCACGCCCCTTCAACGACGAGGACACCAAGGAGCGCGACTTCTGGCTGAGCGAGAGCCAGGCCATCCAGGTGCCCACCATGTTCGCGGACAACTGGTACTACTATGCCGACTATCCGGAGCTGGACGCCAAGGCCATTGAGCTCTTCTTCGAGAACATCAACATGACCATGTGGTTCATATTGCCCAACAAGCGGACGGGCCTGCAGCAGCTGGAGCAGCAGCTGAAGGGCGTCGACTTCAAGCTCTTGGAGGATCGCTGGCAATGGCAGAGCGTGGCCGTCTACTTGCCCAAGTTTAAGTTCGAATTCGACACCGATCTGAAGCCCACTTTGAATAAGGTTAGTTCTGTCAGGGATTGCTCGAGATTCGCTGCCTTATAAAACCAATTTTTGCCAATCCCGCAGCTGGGCATCAATGCCATGTTCTCGGATGCGGCCGATTTCAGCAACATCTTCCAAGATTCGCCCATCGGCACGCGCATCACCAAGGTGCAGCACAAGACCTTCATCGATGTGAATGAGATCGGCTGCGAGGCAGCCGGCATTAGCTGTGAGTTCCTACCACACACCCTTATATCTAGCCGTACACACTATAAATCCTGTTCCCTCTAGATGCCGCTGGCGTGCCCATGTCCCTGCCGCTGGATCCCAAGACCTTTGTCGCCGATCATCCGTTCGTGTTCATCATACGCGATCAGCATGCGGTCTACTTTACCGGACACATTGTCAAGTTTTAGAGTTAGCCCTAAGCGTATATTCCCGCAGCTCTCTATGCAGAGCTCTTAAAGTACCATATCATTTTATCATATACTTGAAATTGAATAAAATTTAAACCCATTTTTTATGAACTTCATTTAATAGTCAAATGTTTTGCACTTGGGCACCACGAGTGCTGGGCATTTTCCCTCCGAATAGAAGACCAGAGCTGTGCGGAAGTTCGAACAATTTGTGAAATTGCGCAATTGAAACACTCTCAACTTTCTCCATAACTTACGTCCCAAGCCGCGCTGCTCGCGCGAACAGTTTAGAATCTCCAGATCGTCTTGCGATATGTTCAAAAAACATCCAAAATAGGCGCAGACCTTGAGCGGCGGCAATTCGCTTCTGCATATCGGGCTCAGAGCCGTTGTCAGGCCTAGAAAGCGAGTGCTATCCATTAATATATGATCCGGATCAAGTTTAGCCTGCACATACCCAGAATTGTCAGCAGCAACAATATGAACTTCATCATCTTGCGGTTGGTTCTGAGCAACTCCATTCGAAAACCCCACCAGGTTTGCCGCATATATAACGCATATTCCATGCTTTGACATTATTTTGAAATCGATGTGACACGCCTGGTTAGGGTATTTCAAGGGCCATGTACGGCTATTGCATTTTTCACACACACGTTTAATTTTTGGGCATGCTAAAAATAAATACAAACAGCCATAATTTTGTTTTAAATTATGCGTCGTCGGTTTACGTGTGACCCAAAAAACAGAGGCCCCAAAAGGTAAAAAGAAAGAAACTTAAGCAAAGATAAGCAGCAAGTTAAGAGTTATGTGCTCTCTTTTAGATTATGCATGCAACATATTAAAAGGTTTCAATATATTCAAACTGATTTAAATATGTTCTGAGAATTAAAAATTCATTTGAAATTTTACACTTCAAAAATTTGAGGCACAAGTCAGGAATTTTATTTAAGAATTATTTAAATATTCTATTTCGTATTTAGCTTAAGAGCAGATTGTAAAAATATTTAAAATATTATTATGTATCTTTTGCTGCTTAAACCTAACATGGAAATTTTCTCTTTTTCCTTTTAGGGTTAAACAGTGTTGAAAAGTGCGGCTCGAGAGCGCATTCCTTTCGGTCGCTTCTTATGCCTAGCTTAAGGGGTTCACTCGAGATCAGATCGATCAGATAATGGGACTCTTAAGACATTTGTGGCATTTGTTTTAAAAGCGCCTGGGTCTGCGCCTGCAGCTGCACCTGCTGCGTCGCCTGGAAGGGGAACGGTGTCAGGGACTGGGATAGGGCGCTGGACTGTGCCCACTTGAAATTCCAGTCGAGTCGCAAAGCCAACATGAAACAAAGAAAAACTTGTCAAGCAATGCAAACAAATCTAACAAAGGGACAGGAGAAGCAGCAAAGAGCTGGTGGCATCAGGGACGAGAGACAGACGCCGCTGTTGCTGCTGCTGGCGTCGCTGCTGCCGTCGCTGCTGCTGCTGACCACAAACGAAGCGAGGGCGCGCTGCAAGAATTACAATTACAACGACAATTACATGCACAGGCAGCGCGAACAGAGGCAGCGCTGCGGCAGAGCACAGCACAGCACAAGCGTGCCCAGTATTTTGTTAACCAGTATTCTCGCTCACGAGAGCAACAGCATGAGCGTGAGCGCGAGCGCGCATTTCGTTGCTGCTGAAGTTGCATTGATATTTGGAGTTGGCGTCGTCGTTGGAGCCAGCCAGAGAGCGAGAACGAGAGAGCCCAGCGCTGTCGCTTGTGAATGCGTAAGGTGCACAGTTGTTGGTTGGGTCGAGGATCGCTCAGTCTGTGTATTGGTGTTAAGCGGAGCAGACGAATTTCGGCGTGCGCAGAATAAACGCGTCTTTTTCATTTTCACGTATTTAGCTGTTGTCTGCGCGAAAAACTGCAGCGCGATCTGCGCAGCTGTCTGCGTCGCAATCCCCGCGCTACATGCCGCGTACTCCGTGCCCCGTGCCCGTACTCTACCATTGTCGCCCACGCGTGTGTGTATGCTTATCTGGCCGTCAGAATCGGTAGCTTGTTTGTTTTTGGCGCAGGCTACCTTATAGAAACGGCAGCCTTCCAGTCTTCCAGCCTGCCAGCCTTCCAGTCTGTCATTAAATGCAGCAAAAAAATAAGAAATAGTTAGTGACCAGTTTGACCGTCTCCTTCTCTCTCCCGTTCCCTCTCTCTTACGCGCTCTGCTTCTGTTTCGTTGCGTGCGCGTTTGTGCATTTGTGTGTGCGTGTGTGTGTGTGTTTCTGCAGCAGTAAAAGTGGAAAACGCGCATCAATTAAATTAAATGCTCTTAAATATCTGCACGATTGGCCCACAGTGCGACAATTTCGCATCAATTGAAGCGCAGGAAAATGCTGCAATTAATTCAACGCGTTAAATTTCCCACTTGGTTGAGCTTTTCCCCCCACAAATAAAGCCCAAATGGCGAGTGCGATTCGAACCAGTTTTCCATTGAACCAAATTAACTGCACATAAATTTGTATTGGAATCTGTGTTACAACAACAACAACACCAACAACAACAACAACAAGTACAACGAAGCAGAGCAAAAACAAAACAAGCAAAATCTAACCATAAACGCTTTGATTTATGTGTGATTACAAAAAACGCGACAAATAAATAAATTATAGCGAAAATAAAAAATATAAAAAAAAGGCTGCGCCTGCGTTTGGTTCCCTTGCCAAACCCCTTTGCGCCCCCGCTAACCCCCGCCTCTGGCTGGCAAATTAATACGAAATATGTTCAAATCCTAATTTATGTGTGCATACACACACACACCCACACACAGACACACACATATGTATGCCTGAGTGAAATATAAATACAAATCAAGCGAAAACAAAGCAGATAACAAAACGTCTCAAAAGGATTTTATACTTCATTTCTTGGCCACATTATGGATACAACAAATCAAATGCATTTGGAGCTCGAAAGGTGAGTCGAACAGATCTCGAATGCTGATAATTAAAAACATGATTTTATTATTTATCTCAACTTTGAGTTTTGTTCAAATTTCGTTGAAATATTTAAGCTTATAAAATATTTGCAATATATTTAAGAGGGTTCGAATTTTGTCCTCCCTTGTTATTTATGTATAAATGGGCAATCAACAAATCCCAACTTCTCGATCAGAATCAGAATTATCAGAATTTTTTTTTGGCATTTAAACATTCTCAAATTTATACAGAAAGAGCCTGACAGAAAGATACTCTGTATAAGCTAGCTTAAAGTGCATTCTACTTGTTTTAATACGGATTGCGGGTTGCCTGATGCTTATGTAAAAGCATACCTGTGTGTATCTAATTATGTTAATACCTTATAATTAAAATACAAACGCACGAATATTCTAATCCCATCAGGAGAAACAGACATATTGCAGTGCATCGGAAATCAACTTGGTATTCGTTTTGTGTCCGTGTAAAAGTGGGCTTATTAAATTGAATTAACACTTAACTTAAGAGTAGAGCATGAAGACATGCGAGGTGACTTGAATTCATGAGAATCGCATAGAAGGGAAACATATTTATAGCGCAGCGATCGGTTAACTTGTTCTGCGTTTGATCTAAGATAACATATGCAAACACATACATTTACACATGCACATACCTTCTTCCCATTTGTACTTATTGAAGCAATGCAAGGCAACTTGAATTTATGAGAATCGCATAGAAGAGTAGCCTTTCAAATCTGCAAAATATGCAGTTAACTTGTTCTGCGTTGTCTGTGATACCATATGCCAAGACATACATTACATACTTATCTTGTACTCACACCTTTCTCTTATTTGTACTCATTATCGTACAGGGTATTTATAGCTAATGTTAGACTTGCAAGCTACAAACTTCTCTTTATTTTAGTATAGTTATAAATTGTACAATTAATGTTTGTTTTAGCTTGCGCCATCAAAGTTTATTTGTTTTAATTTGAGTGTTGATCAAATTTGTATTCATTAAACAAAAACAAACAAATCGCATATTTAATTTGCACCTCAAATTAACCGAAGGTTGTGGTTGGGGGAAGGCAGGCCGCATCACACATAGGCATAGTTGGCGATGTGGCCGATAAAGACAATCGAATCTTTGTATTTAATGGCAAAGGCAAACGGATGATCCGCCTCGAATTTCTTGGTGCGCGAGAAGAAGCTCTTCAGAACTGAAAGAGTTGATTTATATTTATATGGTCCGAGTACCTGGACAGTTTTTGTAGCTTACCACCCGACTCTAGAGGCTGTTCGACGCCCGCCTCAGACACCTCGACATGTGCCTTGTGCTCCACGCTGTTGATGAAGTGGCTCACGAACATGCGGTACATGTTACCAAAGTCGCCGTTGCGCGAGAACATGGTCGTAATGCCCAGCTGGACAATAGAAAATATATACGATAGATGAATGTCTTAGGTTTCCAAATATCTAGTTCAGTTTTCTCCTCAATCTCTCACCTGCTTGAAGGGCTGCTCCAGGCTGACGCCAAAGGTCACACTGAACTTGGGCAGCTCCACCTCGACTTTGTGCTGACTCATGTCGCCAATCTCGCTGAGCAGGTTCTTGCCCACCAGGCTCTGCTGCAGTGCACGCAGTCCGTCCTTGCGATTGGGCAGCAGCACAATCATGGAATAGTCGGCATTCTGATAGGGCAGCTCCAGGACCTTGGCGTCCAGGCTGCTCACCTCGGCATAGTTAAAGTTCTGCAGCGTCCACATGGTCTCCACCTGAACGGTCTGCCCGTTGCCGGTGCGGAACGAGCGCTTTTGGGTCTTGTCCGGCTTGAATGCCTTCTGCCAGGGCGCCGCATACGTGACGCCGTTCACAATGACGCCCTCCGTGCGATCGTTGAGCAGCTCCGGCTTGAGTATGTCCGTAATCTGATTGTTCGTCTTGGTCGCAATCGCCCGATTGATGCTATCCGCCGTGCGCTTGTTATAGGGCGGATGGAAGTCCAGCTTGTCAATGTTCGAGTCGAACTGACGCTGCGCCACATCCCGAAAGCCGCCCTTAAACTCCAGATTCTCGTTGATGTAGATATTGTTGGCCAGTCGCAGATTGTTGTCACGCGTCAGCGCCTGCTGGAAGCTGCCATGCCGCTGCGACACCTGATCCGCATCGCCAATGCCCAGCCACATGCCCTCCTTCAGCTCAATGGCCGTTTGGCCCTTGGCCCCGTAAAAGGCCAGCGCCATGGAGCTCTGTATGGCCGCGGTGCCAATCACAATGTTCTCATTGAGCCGCTCCGCGCCCACCGCATTGTAGAGATCGGCGGCCAGCAGATTGCGATCGCGAGCGGCATCCACGCCCGATAAGGTTTTTGCCTGGCAACAGCCAACGATTGCCAGGAAGACTGAAAAACGAATTGCAACAAAGGCAAATTTGTGGAAAATTCAACAAAATTTGGGTGAAATAAACTCCAGTCAAATATCTTACAAATTGTAGCTATAAAGAGCATCCATAGAAGAAATTTCTTTGAGATAGAAATATTTCGTTCATAAGTGAGTAGATATTCCCACAAATCAGATTGATGAGATATATTTGTTTGAACATATTAGATACTCTGTATAGTAAATGAATTAGTTGCAGATCTCTTAAACTCTCGGACAGACAGAAGTTGTCATCATCAACAGCAGCTGTCACATATCTGCATATTGAACCAATATTTCGGAATAAAAATCCAATTTAATTGTGTGCTTGTGTTCTGTTTGTCTATTGAGAACCTTGATTCTGTTGTGACAGACTATAAACAGCCCATTAATTCTGTATGCCCTAGCTTTAAGGTATTATAAATGTGTCATGAAGTGTGTAACACAGTAAAAAAAAAAAAAAACAAAAGACACAATTGCGAGTCCATAAACCTTAAGAGACGTATCTTATCTGAACTGATTTCTTATCTTTTGAACGGGAAGTACCGCATCTAATCTCAACTGATTCCTTAGCTGATCTGACTAAGCGAACTGATCTCGCAGTTGAGATATGCTCCGGGGGGAAGAGCGGAAAGTTCGGACAAGTCCGTCAGATCGGGCTGCTGTATGTATATAGCATGTATATAGCATTTGAATTATCAGCTTACGATTGAATTGCGCCTTAAACTTCTCAAAATAACTTAAGTAGGGTAACAGAACTTCGTCGTCATTTAGCTGTTGGCTGTTCTTTTTGTGGTTTATTGTAATTTTTATCAATCAAACGAGCCATAAATATTGTCACTTCGGTTTTCGTAGGCCATTGAGACGGGTTTTTTGTTTATTTATGAGTTTTGAGTACAAGTTTATAAAGATCGTATATAGCATATATAGGCAATAATTGAGGCTTACGTAATAGGCACTGCACTGCTTTGAACGACATGATTGTCTAAATTTATATATACATATATTATATATACAGAGAAACTTTTTGCTTGATTGATAATTCGCGTCGTCGTGCGTTGAGCGTCTGAATGTGTACTGAATTTGCGGCGGGCTGTGAGATTCTTTGGAGCTGCGACTACGTCTTGGATTCTCCACTTAGCTGGGCGGCTGAGTGTTATTTTGTTTTCGTTTTTGTAGTTTTGTTTACCGATCGTTTATCACCTTGGCGAGGCGCTGATAAGCCGACAACCTTTGCCCGATGCAGGCATTAGACTCCTCCCCGGCTCTAGATGTCGACCACATGGCCGGCGAGCAGCAGCGTTTTGTCATTGCCGATGGCATAGAAGAACGGATGATTGATCACCAGCGACAAGGTGCTGCGAAACAGATCGGTAAAGGCAGCCACTGTAAGGAGACAAGCACAAAAGTGCAGCTGTTTAATGCGAGCTTCCAATCCGTAAACTTGGACGACTTACCAAAAGTTTGCTCGGCCTCGCCGCCCGCCTCCTGCAGCTCGAGCAGCACCGTGTGCGGCACGGCTGTCAAATGTGGCGCCGAGCTGGATAAAAGCGAGCTGAAAACCTTGTGAAGTTGAGCCTCGGGCGTAAATAGCTTGGCCAGGCCCAGCTGCAAGCAGAGAGACAGAGAGAGAGAGAGAAACTAGAAATTAGAATGTTCCGTTTGGTTGTTTAGTTCGGATAATCTTCACCTGCTCCAGCATGGAGCGCAGCTCGGTGTGCGCCAATAAACTGAACTTGGGCAGCGTCAGAGACAACTTGCGCTCGGTGAGCTGACGACGCAGCTGCTGCAGATCCAAGCGCTGCAGCTGGCTCTCCAATGTGGCCAATCCCTGAAAACGATTGGGATAAATGATGAGCAGACTCAAGCCGGCCGTGGCAAAGGGCAGCTCAACCACTCTGGCATCCAGTGCGGGCATCTCTGCGTATCGGAAGCGATGTTGCAGGAACATGGCATCGACCAGCTTGGGCGTCTGGCCCGAGCTGAAGAAGTTGATGCGCTGCGTCTGCTGCGGATCGAAAGCCTGCGCCCAAGGTGCGCGCAATGTCAGCGCCGAGACATGCAAAAAGGGCGTGTCCGAGCCGCTGCTCGACTCCAGCAAGCCAACGCTGACCAGCTCGCCCACGCTGTAATTGCTGCGCCTGAGAAACTCATAGTTAATCTCCTGCGCCGCACTCGCCCAGTTGCCAAAGTCCAGACGCTGCACGTCTATGCCCAGCGCCGCGGCACGCGCCTCAAACTCGTCCCGAAAGCTGAACGTGTAGCGCTGCTGCGTATAGAACTTGCTCAGCAGATGCAGATGGCAGCCACCTCCTGCTGCCTGCTGCTTCAGCTCGCCCAGGAGCTGCTCGAACTGGCGCTGTGCCTGCTCCGCGCTGCCCAATTGCTGCAGCTCAAGCGCCACGCGCAGCTGCTGCGCCGCTACCGCCGAGTCGGGCGTGATCCCAGCATAGAGTAGGGTTAAAGCCGCCTGCAGCAGCAGCGGGGAGACGGCCACGTTGCTGTGCGGCTGCGCCAGACCCAAGCTGCTGGCCAGGCGCAGCCCGAAGCGTTCGCTGGAGCTGCTCAATGCTGTTGCTGCCGGATTGCCGCGCGCACGGCTACTGATCAGCAGCACGGCGACTGCGACTAGCAGTTGTCTCCAGTTGTCGTAGATCATGCTCCCGGCTATTTGGGTATTCCCAAGCTTTCCGACTAAGTTCAAGCAGCGGCTGTTATTGCCGCCAGAGCTCACACTCAATTAAAAGCAAAACACAAGCAAGCTGGAAAATCTACACACAATCACATTGAGCCGGTTTTAGAGATACACACAAAAACCACTCGAAGATGCTTTTAATTGAAATTCTTCGCTGATATGAGTAGTAGTAGTAGTAGAAGTAGGAGAGAGGAGGCCGAGGGGCGGACCATGACAGCTGAATGAAACGAATTAAACGATAGTCTGGTTGATTCTCTATCGATTGACCTAATTGGCAGCCGTGCCCAGAATCAAGCTCAGAGACATTAGAAGAATAAATAAATATAATCTATTCCAAGAGAGAACATAAGAATTTCATTGTAATACTCTATAAAGCAGGTTTATCGGTTGCCTTAAGAAATAGACAGCATATATGCATATAAAACTAAAGTAAACAAGTTAATTATTTCCCTGTCGAGAAGCTAGTTCAAGATATAAGTATTCATCAAGTACAGAAATAACGAATAGCTTTTCTCCTCTCTCCGATTCGCAGATATCTGTAAGTCCGTTAGCCATATATCTAAGTCTGATATACTAATATCTTACAGAACTGATTTTCAGTTCCAGCTTAAAACATTATTTTCAGCTAAATGCTTGAGATTTTCACCACGATTTATTGCCATAAGCGTATTTCTATTTAGTCTGTGACAATCTGAAGCTCACTCTCATTTTTCATTGCACGAGATACTCGTTTTCTTATCAATTGTTTTGCGAATAAACAAATATATTTATGCGATAAATGGTTCAAGTTCGCATAGCCCCAGTCTCTTCAGCCGCCCCCCGCTCAGCTACTTGTTGCATTTTGCGTTAAGTAGCAAATAAAATATGATGCCATTTTCTTGATTGCCGCTTCATTAGTTTAATTGTTGGTTTTTTTGTTTATGTTTTGTGTTTTTTATATTTTTTAAACGGGATTTTTGCATTACTCATAGAGCATCAGTTCTATATAAAGCTGGACTTTCCAGTGTCCGTTGTGAACCTCGTTCAATTGACGAAGTTTCGATTTGTATTTGTTTATGTGCCAGCTCTGGGCATTGGCGTTCGATAGAGCTCCCATTAGGGAGGGGCATTTACAATGTTAACTGCCGAGGGGTCTCTCTCCCTGAAACGGGTTTGCCAACATTCGCGTGTGCATTGCGGGAAAACGTACAGAAAGAATGAAAAAAAAAAAAAAAACAGAAAACAGAAAACTAAGCAATCGGCGCTGCCCAAAGGTTATCACAGAACAAAACACGAACGAGAATATGTTGAAAATCTTTTTAATATTATAAAAGTGAGAATTACGAGTATGTTTTACAAGTAGCAAATGCGTACACTTAACTTAAAGCTAGGGACGGGCGCGTGTAACTGCTTACGAGGAGGTGGAGATTGGCTTGGGATTCACTGCCTCCCAGACACCTGGGGCGGCTGCACTACGTGTCCAATAAAGAGCACCGAATCGGGTGTGCGTATGGCAAATACGAATGGATGATCCGCAACAAATTCGCGCGACTTGACAGGCAGCGACAACGGCACGAACTTGGCATCTATTTAAGAAAAAAGCAAGAGAGAGAGAGAGATGGTGCATTAGGATTAGCCGCGTTTGGCAGGATTTTGGGCACACTTACAGGAAGCTGCTGCCGCCTCGGAGCCCGCCTCGTTCACATCGATGAAGGCCTTTTGCAGTATCTTGGACACACGCACCGGCTGCAACAGCATCGCATCTACCTGGGACTTGGGCGTGAACATGCGACGCACGCCCAGCTGCTGCAGCGGACCCGTCATATCCAGTTCGAACTCTATGCGGAATTTGGGCAGCCGCACGGTGACCATGTCGCGGTGCAGGCGTGCCGCAATCTGATTGAGATCATGTCGCTCCAGCTGCCGTTCCAGCTGGGCCAGACCGTTCACCTGGTTGGGCAATATGATAAGCATGGAAATGGGTGTGCCGGCATAGGGCAGCTCCAGCGCGGTGGCATCCAGCTCTGGCAGCTCGGCAATGTCGAACAGATCGTCATTGTACATCATGGGCACGGTGATAGCTGCATTGTTGCCCATGCGGAACTTCTCCGCCGTGGTGTCCATTTCGGAGAACTCATTAGCCCAGCGTGCCTTGAAGTAAATGGCCGTCACCAGCAGCGCCTGCGTCTGCTCATCAATGTCGCTGGGCTGCACCAGGTCGCGTATGATGCCGCGTGTGGCATCCGAGGCCCAAGCATTTATCTTGGCCGCCGTATCACGCGATTTGCGCATGTTGACCGCTTCGGTCTCGGAGCCATAGTACTGGCTGGCGAAGGCCAAGTATCGAGGATTAAGCTCGTCGATTTCGCGATTATAGTACAGCTTATTGGCGACAATCAGCTGGGCATTCGGCAGCTGGCTCTCTGTCCGTCGCACCTGCTCAAATTCGATGGCCACATCCAGTTGTTTGTTGCCAAACTGACCTACGCGTTGCAGCTCGGCGGCAGTTTCATTGCTGGAGACGCCGTAGAGCAGGCCCAGCATGGCGTGCATCGTGGCCGGCGAATATACCACATTCTGCTGCCCGTTGCTGCGCGAGATCGGCTGAAAGAGCACAGAGCTAAAGCGTTCCCGGTAGTTGTACTGGGCCGGCGGGCGCGTGGGGCCCGCCGAGCTGGCCGGACGACCGGCTGCTTGATTGAAGCCATTCACTATTACTTCGGGACTTGCAGCTGGGGCGGACGCGGACGCGGACGCGGGTATCGGCTGATGCTGCTGCTGTTGTTGAGCAGTAGGCACTTCCGCGACATTCCGCTGAACATTCCAGGTCTGTTGACCCGTGTGCGATGCGGCGGCAATGCGCTGATCGCTCCAGGTTTCCTGAGCCAAAGGCATTACTTCACCCTGCGGACGCTGCAGATCATGCAGATCAGGTGGCCCCACATAGGAACGACTCTGTATAGAAAAGGGCAGCCTAGAGTTTATGATAACTCCCGCAAAAATGCTGCTGGAGACGGCGGGTCCGATGCAGAGGCACAGACTTAGGCTGAGGATTAGGTAGCTGCTCAGTAGAAGCAGCATGGCTGACGCTGTGAAGATTCAGAGCGGGTTAAGACTCTGCTCGGGCAGTTGCCACAATTGTTCTAAGCTTACAATATTTGCACGACATGGCTGCCAATTACTTGCGACGGATGGAAACTTGTTTAACTGCTACTCTTTATTTTAATTTAATTTTTTTTTTTTTGTAATTATAATATTTTCTTGTTATTTTGTGTAATTTTTTCTTTTGCGTCGCGCTGCGGTCGTTTGGCTCCGGCCGTCTGGTGAGCAGCTCAGCTCTGGCGTAGCTTTAATACAAAACTGATCTTGGCAAAAAGTTTCGCGACTTTGAGAACCGACTACCGACTAACGACAACCGAGCACCGATGAGCTGCCGCAAGATAACCGGTCTAGAACAATGCCCCCCACACATTCCTCGCTGCTCGCTCCTCGCTCAGGCACAGTGGGTGCGTCAAGAAGAGCAGCGAGCAAAAGTTACAAGCAGAAAAGACGAAAAAAAAAAAAAAACCAGTTGAGCAAATCTTCTGGCTGTCTCTCTGGCTTGGGTGCGCTCTCTCGATTGGAAAATCCCCGCGTATTTTTAAATGTAATTACCTTAAGGAAAATATGCGCTACCCTGCGCGTAACCATTCGGTTTTCACAATACTCTGGCTACAGGTTTTTCAATTGCCAACGGGGCGTAGCCGTTATGAATGCAAATTCGCCACGATTTGCATTTGATGCACGTGCGGTCCTCCACGGCCAACTAACTAACCGAACTAGCTGAGTCAGCCGGAGAATGTCGAAGAATAAGAAAAACCAGCTGTATGATGCTTATTTTTAGAAATTAAATTCAATATCAGCTCCTCGATTTCCTGCTATTCACAAACGACGTCAAATGCCATAGCCGCCTGTTGACATTTTTATGCAGCCATTAGATATATTAGTCGACATTTATTCTCTCTGGTTACTAAATGCATTTCCTTAACCATTCATAAGAGTTCTACATAAATTGTAGCGCGAGAACTAATTAAATATTCCAAAATCTAAATGGAAGATAAAACCAGGCAACGAGACCTCACACGACCCTCGTCTCGTCTCGTCGCGACTCGACTCGACTCGAATCGAATGTTTTGCTTAATTATGTAAAAGCGAGTTATGTATGCATTTCATATCATATCAGACATATATACTCACACACACACACACCCACAGGCAACTCTGACCTAATTGCACGGCTAAATGTGTAAACATAATTTACTCCAATTAAAGCCAATGACGTCTTCTCGGCCTAAGTGTGCAGTGCCACGCCTCTCCCCAGCACGAACCGCCTACTCTGTCAGGCACATGCCGCAGTCCGTACCGAAATTGGGGCAAGAGTTACGAGTCGGGAACTGGAGTACGTGTACACAGAACAGAGCTGATATCAGACTGAGCACCATAAAATGCAATCAATAAATTTGTAAAATTCTGGAGCTTCGGAACGGGTTGTGTTAATTACCCCAGGCACCAGGTGGAAGTAGCAGAAGAAGTACAAAGAGGAAAAACATTAAAAAAAAAAATAAAAATAAAAAAAAATTGAGAAAATAGTAGTTAACCTGATGGTTGAAGTGCACTTGCATAGCTGGGGGAAAAATTGTAAAAATGCGATATGCATCAATTTTGTATTATCTTCCTTTTTTGTCATCTCTGTCATATTTTGTAAGTTGACCGACAGTTGAATGATTATAAAAGCTGTCTTTAAATGCAGCAAAACGAGCGAGTGAAATGTTAAATGAACTCATTACAGTCATGGTCAAAATAATAGGCAAGCTGTTAACCATTTATAATGCCTGCCTTTGGCATGCCTCAATCAACATACCACATATGGTCGCTCCATTAAGCTCTTACAATATTTGAGTATCAATATAATTATGAATGCATGCATCGTTACAAATCATTGCACAACTCTATAAATATTTAGCCTTTGTTATTTTATGGGCACGAGGCGTATAAATAATATTAAATACACA